ATTATTTTTTATTAATATTTTTATTAGATTTCCGGTATGTTAATTCATTTACGCGTAGATCTTTTTGTGTACAGTTTTTTTGAAGTTTTTTCTTCTTATCAACTAGAGCTTTGCCAAGATTTTCAATACATTTGACGGTTCAATCGTACAAAAATAATGTCGAACTCTACATCAAGACTGACCCGAACTGTGAATGGTATGAATATGTGATCATTTGCGATAATTGTTGTTGTTCTGCGATTTTTGCATTATACTAATGTCTGAAGAGGGCTCAATCCGAGAACCGAAACTTGTAACGTTATATAATTTTGCCTTTGTTGTTTGAAATACATTCTTTTGTTAATTTTAAAGAAACGTGTTGACTCTTACTTTGCCCGTTACTTATTGTCATTTGGTTTCTATTAATTGTTTTACAAAATGAATATAAAAACAGTTTTGTAATTTTTTGTATTGTGCGTTTAAATTCTTCCTTATGTGACATTGAAAAAAATCTAAATTTAATTGTTCATTTAAACATTCACGTAATAATGCAGAAACATTTCTGCGAAAATATATTGAAGAAATATTTTCATTTTCAAATATTTTCAATCAGCTTCAATATATGCATGTTTTAAAAAAGATGGAGACGGATAAGTTAACGAAGGCTTTTCTTGTACATATTCTCTGTGGACTAATTCCCTATACTCTTCACGTGTTGTATCTACTCGTATTGTTAAGAGACTCTGTTTACACGTTAAACAATTTTTAAATTCTTTCAAAGACAATATTTTTTTTGCAAGCCAGTAACATATACTTGACTATTTTTATATGATGAAACTTTATGCATTATTGTTTTATGCGGAATTTGAAATGATTCTACAGAATCTTCTTCCACTGTTTGTTCTGTACTGTGTTAACATCTGAGAAACATCTTTCACAAAGTTCTTTAATGTAAATAGTAAATCATCATCATTTTTGCTTTCGCAGTTAGTACTCATAGAGCGTTTCGAAATTAGATTATATGGATTAATAGTGTTTTGTGTGTGTTTGTCTACAGAACTACTCGTACATTGGCTACATGTAGGATTGATATTTCTACGTTCGTGACTACGAATCATACCAAATAAGTTTTCTAGTGACTCTTGATTAATATTTCTCGTCTTTAAAAACTTTATGCCTGCATTATTGATCATTTTTCATATGTTTTGAAACCCACGTAGAGTAAAGATCCAATTTTTTAATGATGGTATGCACTTAACTGATTATTTAATTTTTGGATCTACATATCGCATATTGGATAGTAATCTTATAGCATACAACCAAAAATCATGATGTTTGCTATTTTCTAATACCGCAACTCGTAAAGGACTTTCTGGATGCAAAGTATGTGCGTTTACAGAATCAAAAAGTTTGTTAAAAAAATCTAACACCACTGCTGTGTCGTATCCTGCCTTGTTTGATATTTAAAATGGACCAATTTGTGAATCAACAAATCCTCCTGCAAAGTTAAATAAAATATATATAAATATACAATATTATGCCATTAGAAAAAAATAATAATTATCACTTATCAAATTACCTTTGATTTTGCTATTCAATATATGCTGATAATCTAGCACTGAAAACTTGAGCAGCACATTTAACTTTTATCTTTTTTATTTTTTATCTAATTACGTGTTTATCAGTTAATGTTGGCAGTTGACGATTTAATATATTTGTGTTGATATCCATTTTATATGTCAGTTCAATGATCTCCCATAATGCAAATTGTCATTCGTTTGTGAATTATTGACATTAAATTCTAAATTTTTAAACAATAAATTATTACGGATTCCTTTTAAAAGATGTGGTGGATCATAGATGGGTACAATATTTTGTTCAAAAAGTTCAATAGTATCTCCTTAAAGAAAATTAAAAATTATCTTATGCATTATTTATTATGTTTTCTAACATAATATATTAAATATATTAATTTTCTAATATTATTATATTTTCTTATATATTAATGTATATTAGGAAATATAATTACATTAATAATAATTAATTAATATAAAAATAATACTCACGATATTCTTGATTTGTTTGTATACATTTTCTTTTAGAATCCTCAATAAAGTTTTTAATGATTGTCATATTTGGTCCTCCTTGGGCACATACAGTTGCAACAACTGTTAAACCAGCCTGAGTCAGCTCTTTTATAATTTCTTTGATACATCTTAATAACTGTACAGATTTTGACTTTTACAGAAATTGTAAGATAATAGCATTTTCCATCCATTTATAATTTCCTCTTATCATAAAAACTAATACATGATCGGCTATTAATGATGTGCGTCTGTGCCCCCAATCTTCAAACCCAACTATTTTGTCATTTAATCGGTCATATTGCAAATTATTGGGTTGTTCGGAAAGTAATTTCGTTTTTTCCCAACAGAGGACTTAATTGTATTTTTCACAGCCAACTTCACACTTAAGCCGCATAATCATGATATATTTTGACAGCTGATATAGCAAGTCTTGCTTGTGAAAAAAGTTCGATTGATTCTACGCAGTAGTTTTTGGTTGGTGCCCTATCAAATATGAAAGTGAAAAGCAGCATTTTCGGCATATTTTACTTTTTTACTATCGGAAAGGTAAAAATGCTGTTCAAGCAAGAAAAAAATTATCCGATGTGTATGGAGAAGATGTATTGACAGAACGCCAGTGCCAAAACTGGTTTACAAAATTTCGATCCGGCAATTTTAATGTTGAAGATGCACCACGTTCTGGAAGGCCAGTTGAAGCTGATGAAGACACAATAAAGGCATTAATTGATGCAAACCGGCGAATAACAACTCGTGAGATCGCTGAGAGATTAAATTTATCGAATTCGACCGTTCATGATCATTTGAAACGCGTCTGATTGAAAATCGTCTTTCATTTTCATAAGAAAAAACGAAATTACTTTCCGAACAACCTAATATTTTCTAAAGACATCTTATCCCACATTAATACACATAATTTATTTCGTTCGTTATTCATTTGTGCAATACACTGTCGAAGATGCTCAAAAACGAGTTTGTTAATTCCTGGTAAAGAAATCTTTTGTAATAAATATTTAAGGGTTGTAGTACTTGGTAAAACAAATAATTTTGATAATAATTTATAACATGATCCAGATTGTTTAAATAGTGAAAGTGCTAAAATTTTTTCATCAAGCATGAATCTTCTTCCCTACAGTACAAATAATAAAGAAACAGTTTAAACAATATTAATTAAAAATCGATCGAATAAAATAGTTACAGTTAAAAAAATATACAATTTTAATATACAATTTTTTCAATGATAATTGAAAAAGATATTACAAATTTACGCTGCTTTTGATTCAAAAAATATATTGCTTAAATATTGGAAACTTCGTTCTGGACATATTAATTCCAATGAGGATTTTAATTCATTAAATAATAATTTAAAATTTACCTTTAGAGCATACTTTGTATTTTGTAATTGCATATTAAAAAACAATTTTTGTGTTGGAGTTCAACTATTGAATTTTTTACAAAATTGTGTATTTAACAACTTTTTTGTATCTTTCAAGCATGTTTTATAATCTATTATTTGTCTCTTCATTCGGTTTCTTTCCTTTACTAACATTGCAGTTTTCTTATATATTTTCTATGCTCTTGGTTAAATGTCGTTGTCTTGTAATAGATCCAAGTATATTTTTTGAGGTTTTCGGTGTACTGGGACAATTATTTGTATTATTATTTTTGATATGATTTTGATCATTTTGTAATGCACTTGTTTCTGCACATATAAAATTACTTGAAGTTTCATTTGACTCATTACTGGTTTGAGATTGTAAATGTAACTCAGTTATATTTGTTTCAGATTGTAAAAGCAGCTCAGTTGTATTTGTTTCAGATCCTGAATGTTGTACATTTGTATGTTGTATATTTGTTTTAGATTGTAAAAGCAGCTTAATTGTATTTATGTTACATTGTAAATGCAGCTCATTGTCAGTTGCCCTTATTATAGATCGTGAATGTTGCTCAGTCATACTTGTATCATTCATCTCAGTATTAACTGTCTGTATATTACATATATTTATATTAGGTACTGCATTATATTTTAGTCTTCGATGAGTTTGAGAGTAAATATAATCTTCAGGTAAAAAATGCAAGTGACATTCTATATTTTCTCAATTCCTCTGATGAAACATTTAAAATAATATTATTGTTCACAATTCTTTCCATTTTTGTGATAATGACGGATTTTTGGGAAAAAAATGACCAGGAGTGGAATTTAGAATTAGATTTACAGCCTGATACAATGCAGATCCATTCAATTTTCATCATGATTAATGAAAATTTTAAAAACTGAAAAATAAAAAAAGAAATATTCTGTTTTATACATAATGGATATGATATATTATCGCACGCACGCACGCACGCACATACATCATCCTTTTCTATATGTAATAAATCATTTATTCATACATAAGAATGAAATGATACATAATGGAATCATCTTTATTATTCCCTATTATACTCTACGATATTTTTACATTGTTCATAATATATAACTTACCTTATCAGATAATAATTAAATAAATTCTATTTGTTTTCTTCACAATTCTACATATATTCTATGTTCTGTGAACACAATATGATGTCATAACAGCGTATATGTATAAATCACGCCATCTGAGCCAATATACCAAAATAAACTAATGCGGTCTGAAGTTTTATATAGAAGTTGATCACGCATGATCAGGCTGCTCTTCGCCTTGATGAAGTGGATTGCAAGATTCACTAAACGTTGACATTCCAAGAATGGATCTGGACACGGAGGAAACCCGCGAAACACATAACTTTTATGTAGAAAGCATCCGTGGAAGCTTCAAGAATATTATCAAACTATTATTTTATATTTTATATTGGCAATTAAGTTATATTTGTAAAAATATAGATAAAAAACATTTTTCTATTAAGATTACATATTTTATGAGCTTACACGACCAATTTTTGTAAAACAATAAAATAAAAGTATATTATAATGTTGAAATATACTTAAAACAGACCATTTTAAATATCGCAGTTAAATATTGTATGTTTGTTTTCTTAAATGTATGTTATTCACAAAAAATCTAATATATGTACATACAACCTATCGTGTTTTATTTATGACATAATTTTTAAAGATTTAATTAAAATATAGTACAATATATATACACACATGCACGTAAGTGTACGCACATGCAAGCACAAATGAGAAAAACACACTGTTCCTGT